AAGTAGAAATTTATGTAGGATTTGAGGTTTTCACGGTGGTTAGTCTGGGTTCTGGGTTCGAACGCCGTGTAGTGTGGTAGAAGTTTACCGACGTTTCAGAAATCCTTGTTGCCTCCATCATCAGGGCGATTATGGAGGCAGTAGACAGCAATCTTCAGGAATTATTAAGCTTATTAATATAATTGTAACAGATTTCCTATTTTTGTCTCTTTTACGGTCAAATGTTCCAATCATTCTAGTTGACTAAATTGTAAATATTCGAAATCCGGGTTATTGAAGGTTTGCCGCATGTAATTTGAGACGTATTAAGTGTTCTTCCAGTAGGCTGTGACTGATTTCGATTATGTTTGATGTAGACTAAACGTTGTAAAGAAAGTTTAATTTAACATTATTTCGTATGAGCCCAATTTACGTTAAGTTTGTATCGACCTTTCTTAAATTTCTCGTAAATGGCTCGGCCTACAAGAAACTCACAGAGAGCTAGACCTCTCCAGTAAGCGCACAGTTTATGCAGGTCATGCAGAGAACGTCTTACTATAGAACTAACTACTTTACATACTATGTGACTGTAGTGCAGAATATTTGTAACATTTGATTTGAATTTGGGAGGTTTAGTTAAATTTTTTCTTCGTCTCTTCTCGTTTGTTTTGTTTCTAGGAATTCTTTTTGTTTTAATCCATTTAATTTCTAATCCTCCAATCCGATATGTACACGCTGACTGAAGTCGTGTTCTCGTTATAAATGAAGGTCATATAAACTAATATGTGATAGAATTGATTGCAGTTTATATGCAATAAAGTAGTACTTCATTTCAAGCACTAGTTCATATTGTCCAACATTCTGTCACAGGATACGACTGTATGTCTTTATCACAGTGCCCGAATGTGTAATTCAATTCAAATGACAGTGCGCCTGAAACCGAAGAAACTACATAAGCAGTACAGTTGGTTCTGTGTAGGGACAATCATTTTGCGGCTATACAAAGGGTACATACCCCTCAGTTTCTCTCTCTTTCTCTCCCCTACCCCAAAAAATCTGCAATGGAACGAATAATGATGTCTATTTTTTTGTTTCTGTTGGAGAACTGTGTTAAGATTGATATGACATTCGTACCTGAAGATGGAGACAGTATGTTCCTCTGTAACGTTGGTGTCACAACGCAGATGAACGTCGACGTATTCACTTTAAAGTTCGTAGTAATCGAAATGCGTGTCGACAGAAACGAGGAAACGATGCTTAAAATGAGTTAATTGACAGACATAACGTAATGTCAGTGTATTTGGTGAGTTAATGTATTCAGAATTGTTGAAAGGAATTCATGAGAGCAATATGGAAGCAAATTTATTGTAGATGTGTGGTAAATATGTTACTAGAAATAATGATGGTAATTAATATCGAAAATGCAAGTAAATTTTATTACAAATGTATGAAATGTTTGTTACAAAATTCAGTGCACACATAATACAGAAATGCTGAAATATGAACGATTATATGAGACATCAGCTCAAATATATATTACTTTTAGAATTCAAGGTGTCCAAAGTTTTCCAAGTGTGAAGATTTAATTGTTGCTTCAAATCAAGTATTAAGCCTTTGAAGCCGAACTTCGTATAAAAACATTAGTAAAATATTCACCATATTCAGTCTGTTCCCTCTGTTTAAGAAACTAATAGCTGTTTACATTGAGATTTACACGAAATACACAAATAAAAAAGCAGACTTATTTATTATTAATGCAGGTGGGACATGGGCTTTAAAAAGGATAATTATTGGATCAAACTCTAGGCGTCTCGGTCGAGTATTTGTTACTCCTGCTTCATAAACGTGAGGATTTTATTATTTCAATTCAACATTTCAAGGCAAATGCTAGTAAGTACTCTTACATTGAACCGGACCACGATCGCTTCCTTTCAGATCCTTTCCAGTTCATCATTCACATATTCATCTACCATTCCGCGCTATGTACCTTAATCACTTGAAATAGTCGTCGAATGACTGTATAATCCTCGGTCGGGTGTGGGGAATGAACCCATCTGAAATGAAGTGGTCTTGAAGATCCTGACATTTGGCTTCCGTAGATGTCGCTGTCAGATTGTCTTGGTTTTATGTAGTTAACAGGTGATTAATTAGTGTAATTGAAGATCGTGACTCAGATTTAACAGCAAGTCCTAACAAATGATAGTAACACCTGCTGAAAATAATTCCCTGTCATTCGTTCAGGTGGAATTCGTATCCAGCACGGAGTGACGCTCTGTCGTCTGTCATGTACCATGCTCGATTCAGACAGAGGCACAGCAGACCAAAAAGCTAACAGATCAACTAACTTAGTCTATGGAACATGGTCCTTCTTGAGAGTTAATCAAGAAATTCATCGACTTTTATGGTATATTGTATCTATTCATTCTTTTACAGGAGCCCACCACTTGTCTGTATCCTGAAAAAGATTAATCCAATCCACATCCTCCTACACTACCTTATTAAGATGCGTTTTAATATTATCCTTCCATATGCGCCCATGTCTTTAGAATAAGAGTTATAAGGAATGCTTTATAGTAATATGTATATTACGGATATAGTTAGCAGGTCTTATCATTATAGGAAAGTATTCTTTAGTCGTTATTAATTGTCTGGGTAAGGCCTACTTATCCACAGCTATAATTACGCTTTGAAGCAGATCACAGAGGCCTGAAAACCTCAGTTGAGACAGCAGTGTGAAGTCGTTCTTTTGTGTTTTGGCGTATGTGACGGGATAAACCTTCTAAAGTTTAACTCAATTTTTGAGTACTCATTTTCGAAATGAGATCTTTAAAATTTTGCACGTGATGTTCTTGATGCTTATTTGTTAGACATGAAAATTTACTCGTACTATTGCAAGTCAATGTCTATTGTAGCATAACGAATAATACTACATAAACAATGCTTAAAAGTACAAAAAAAAAATTATCCTATGTTGTTGAACATACTAAAAATATTTTAAATAAATGCTTCAGATTGTGATGAGATTTGTTATTTACGTTATTTAAACAAAGTTTTGTACGAGAAGTCGCATTAAATAAAATATTAACTTTATGGTTTACAATACAAAATGTAATCCAAACCCTTGACGACTTTCAGATGGATACAACCTCCCCTTAGCGCGTTGATTTTATATAATTCATGCAAATGTAAAGTGAAATCATCCGGAGTTCGTAAGGAACAAGCTATGAAGCAGTACACGGAGTGTAAAGAAAACTTCCACACTAGGATGAGATTGTTGGTTATCTTCACTCTTCGACCACCTTGTCACTGATGATAGAGTACGCTATTCCCATTGAAATGGAAAACAGGTGGACCGCAGAACCAGTCTGGACAGAGTCCTGGCCTGTAATCACATTCGGATGTTCAGTTCGTTGTCAGTTTCCCTACTGACTGAACTATATTATATAGCGTCCAGTAGAATTTGAGGCTTTCAGGGCGGTGAGCCCGAAGAAAGCTGTATTCTGGGTTGCAGCGCCGTGTAGTCTGGTAGATGTTTACCAAACTTTCAGAGGCCCTTGCTGCCTCCTTCATCATTGCGATGAGATACACATCATCATCAACATTGAAAGATTACAAATTGTTAGCTTTAGCTGCTGAGAAATGGCGATAGAAATGTTTTCATTGATCTCAAACACCAAAGAAATTCAGACAACAAGGGTTTTATTTTTAAACGAAACATGTCGTGAGTGGCATGGAAAGTGTTATATGAAACTAATTACTGAGAAAAAAGTTCGCAACACGCGTTTGTCCGACGCATATGGAGACTGACGCATTGCATGAGACTTCAAGCCGAGCCCAAGATGACTGACGACGTGAATTATGTAGACGACGCATTACAGAAACCAGTTCATGTGGGTTGGGCCGATCCGTGTAACATAACAGTCCACACGAAAGGCAGCAGCCATTGCCACGCTTTTAATCTTTTTGACAAAACATTCCGATTCGAGCCCTGCCTAAGGCAAGAACACAGTTGCCATACAGGACACCGAATTTGGGTCCGGACTATTCATGTCACTTGACTGTGTTCCGGAAGTTAATTTTAACAGAGGAAACAAAAGGTCGATATTCTAGCTAGTCCTTTTGTTGTAAAGGCAGTTGAGCAGAGCCCTCGATATTCTAACAGTTGCTTAGTTGGTCAGAAAAATAACTTTTCATAGAATCCGAAGGACCATTACTGTCTTCCATGGTGTTGTATCATGCAGTTTGGTAGATACGCACCGACGTTTCAGAGGAGCTTACTACTTTTAATTTCAGAGCGATGAGTCCTCGCTCCGATGAAGGAGGCAGTAAGCTCCTCTGAAACATCTGTAGATGTTTACCAGACTTGGTGTAACATCCTGGAAGACAGCCATTTTTATACTCATCGCCATCAGAACCTGAAATCTCAAATTCATTGCTGTGTTTACACTCTCGAATTATGTTCGGAGATAGATTGTTCCTTTTACACTCATTGAAAAGTTTTTTGTTCTGTAATTCAGGCGTTGTGATGCACATGTTTGCAGGCTGAAGAAGTATTTTACTTCTCATTTTAGTAACTATTTTCACTTAATTTAATGGTTTAAACTTAAAGAAACACTGCCATTTCCAATTACTTTTAGGTTATTACTTTGCATCATTATCATCAATGGTGTATACCAGCTGTCTGAAGCAGTTTCAAAAAACTAATTAAATTGAATTGTTCTTTGCCTTCATTTTTCTTTATTTCTGTTCAATACCAGAATCCTTTAAGTTGAGGATTAATGAGACATTTTTAGGTGATTTGGAATGATTAAACATAGAGTACTACAAAGCAGTATTTCTGACTGAGCCCCAAGCTTGAAGATGGAGGCAGTTATTTAACCCGAAACGTTGATTTATACAAGACGTTCACATGGTGTGACAACCCAGAAGGCCAATAATGACATCTTTTTTACTTCATTTATTCTTCTTACAATGTGACGTTGCAAAACAAGTATTAAAACCGTATGTTCTGTTCCGTCTAGACTCCAGATCAATGGCTGAGGAGGGTAATTGTGAGAGCTCCCCAGCGGGCCCGAGTTCGACTCCCGCTGTGGTTACGACGACACCCGAACCAAAACTGGAGATGTCCTCGTACATGAAGCAGCTGATGGCTGAGAAGCAGAAGCTGGAGGAAGAAACCGGACCAGACTTGCAGCTGGCACATAGACTTCTGACCACTGGTGAGTGGTGGCTTATCTAAAAGTGTCGGGAGTAAACTGTACTGGCAAAGAGGAATTTCATTCTTTCTTTGTTTCTTTACGGCTACAGGCCTAATTTTCTTCAGCAAAGTCAGCCATATTCTGAACCATTTCGCTAAAGATCCCATCTTTACAACATGCTCGTTATCTTCGTCTGTTTATGGGTCTTTGAAGTAGGTGAGGTTTCCGAGCAAAATTCCGTATAAATGCTTGTTTCTTGGGACTTCTGCTTACTTCATCCAAATCATCCTTCTTTTGTTTTATGTTAGCCAATTGCTTCACGTATCCGGATACTACTTTTATCTTCCTTCGTTGCCAAGCATGTTTCAGCAAGTGACTTTCCTCAGATTAAATATCTCCTGCGCGACCTTCAGTGTCAACAAAGAAGTTTGAGTGTTAAATCATGAAATTAACCATTTATTATCATCAAAAATTACTTATTAAAATGCATTTGATGTTTTAATTTACTTTATAACTCATACTTTAGGTACATAGCGATTAATGTGAAATATTTTTTATGTCCAGGAAATAAGTTTGTGATCATTGACGAACTATAACATATCTTTCTTCCGTTGTTGTTATTTTGAGTCCCATGATGAATGCGTATGTTCCATTTCGTCCAGTAGATTGTGAACAGACGCGCAGGTTCTGTGTTAACGTGATTGTGTCCTCGTCGTGCCATTAAATTTTATCTGCATCGGAGCGCAGCCACTGAACTATCTCGCTATGCCTAGCAACAGTTTTCTTCAGATAAACAGAGTAGGTATTCTGAACCCTGGAAGGACTACAGTCATACTTTTAGTGACTTGGCGAAAAGCGAGCTGAACTTTTTGCATGTGTGGCCATTAATTTGGACTGACATAAGTAAAAGGAAGTCAAACTGTTTCTGGTAATTACAAAGCATCACGCCATATCATTATATGAGGGGAGTAGAGGTGTCTACTTTCAATACAATGGTCAGTTCTCGTCACTCATGTCTGTACGAATGCGGAAAAGATTGAAATTAGGTTCTGAAGGTAGCAACTGTGGTAGCAAGAATTGCGAACAGGGTTGTGCCGACGCCGATGTTGGGGTCTGGCGGATTCGTGCGTTTGGTTTTGTGTAGGTACGTTTCTCAGAAATCTGGTTTCAGTAGCCGTAAACATGTTTCAATATTCAATTTAGTTCATAAATAAGTTTAATAAACTTTTTAAACACTTTGAGTGATACTGCTACAGTAAAGTATGTTACTTTTAGGCATAAACAAGGTTTATTCCCGTCAAATTTCATGAACCATACTATGCTATTAACTCAGATAGTTATTTTCCTCAGCAATCGGTTTTCCTTACCCCCAGGGATAGAGTTCCTAGTACCAGTTTCTGTGAAAGAGACTAGGCCAACACCAGAGCTGGATTGGACGCGATACTGAAGTAAGAAGGAACTCTCTAATCTCTGTCGTGAATCGAATCCCG